CTTCCTCATTCCTTGATTATCAAGAAGGTTCTTGGGGCGATTGAAGTAATGGTATTCATTATGAAATTTTTAAGTGAAGTTAAATTCAGTTTTGGAATTGTTACAAGATAATTTGATTTTATCTAATGAGGTAACAGAAATTGGCAGCCATTAAGGGTTTTAGGGTAAGCCTTTTGTCAGAAAATATGGTGAGGTTACTCTGTGGATTCTCAAAACTCAGACAATGACACACCTGTTTATTTACTTTATAATTTTAGAGATGAAAATTATGTTTTCTGGCCAGGGGCTATTTTCTCCTCTATTCTTCTTCATTCATAGATCTAAACACTGACTCAATTTCCTGCACCATCCTCTATATATTTATTTGAATTTTAGATCTAAGAACCATTTGTGAATCAAACAATATCTCTAAGTTGATATTCTCATTACATTTCTGCTTGAAATTGTCTGGATACTGTTGGGGGAAATTTGGTTTTTGGTCATTCCTGGGAGTGAAAGGATTAGAGGTGAGGGGTAATCTGTGATAAACAACCATCCTATTTAGAGAAAGGTGTTTTTCATCTTGTCATGGGACAAAGAAAGAAAGGTTCAATTCCTCATGAGGAATTGAACCCCAGACCTTTGAATTCTGCACTCTGATGCTCTACCATCGAGTCACAGAGACTGTATGGTGATTAAGGCCTATTACAAAGTTCTTATGACACATGTCCCACATACTGTTAGGATCACCAAGGTCATGTTTGTTGATAGAATAAGAGAGATGGCAACTTTTGAGGAATCGAACCTCAGACCTTCAGATTCCATGCTCCGGATGTATTACCACTGAGCCACAGAGACTCTAATTTTGAACAGAGCTTAGGAAATTGGAAGAATGTAATCCTTACATTTTCTCATGTTGGGAAACAATAAACCTAAAACTTAAGTGTCAGAAGGCAAAAAGTTTAACCAGAAAAAAAAAACATCAAAACATCCTATTTAATATGAGAAGTAGCCAAACCCTTACCATGATTGCTTCCTGCTACAGAGTCAAGGCTAAGGTTTGGCAGCTAAACGAGTGAGTCCCCTTATTTGCACAATCCACCAGATTGTAAAGGGTGACCTCCTTACTATGGTTATTAATTAATTTACTTTTCATACCTGAAAATGTATTTTCAGTCTGATTAAATTTAACAGGTTTCATTTGTTCCACTATGCAATCATTTTCCAGTTATCTGTAATATTTGACATAAAAGTGAACAAATAATAGTGGAATGTTCTTACAGTTTGCACATCTAGTTAGAATTCTCAGGCATGTTGCTTTATTTAGGGTACATTTTTAGTGTACCTTATCAGTTTCACTTTTAAAAGATTTTTTTTTATCAAGTTTTGATGATCCTCAATTGCTAGATTTGATACAGCATGAAGAAATGTATTTGATTCCATTACAGTACCTCTCAGTGATTTAATGTCACTTACTCAGAGGAAATGTTTTTAAAATGATGAGCTCTTGCACTACTTGAAAGAAAACAAGGCACTGAATAGAGCAAGCACAATGCAACAGTCACTCTCCCTCCTCTAAAGAATTTCAAAGTCCATAAACTTACCCTATATGTGAAAAAAATTTATATCCATGCTGTTAATGTATTCTGTGGTGTAGAGAATGAAGAAGAAGAGTAAAGTGTTTTAGTTTAGAAAGAGACAGTGTCAGACATTTTTGGTAGGACTATAAATTATCTACATTAAGGCTTAACAAAGTGTTATAAATATTATTGCAAGAACATTGCCATTGTTGACTTATTAGTTAATTATTTAAATTGATAAGTGCATGAAATTTATAGTTGAAAAACGTTCAAAGAAAAGGATAAAAGAAACCACGAGATTGCAAAGAACTTGGGCTTTAAAGATATTAGTATGTCCTTAGAGAAAGATTTCAGTCATGTTGCATACCTTGCACAGTGTGCAGGCAATATTTTTTTTCTAATATCAGAGAGTTGGCTTACAGGAAATTCAGTAATCTTGTCATGGAAACTTAAAAAAAAAGGAAAGAAAGCCAACCTGGAGCAATTGCCAGCCTGTTACTTTAACAGTTAATGAAATGTACTAAATGTCGTTCATTCTTCAGTTGGTTTCTCACCACATCGCTGTTGCAATTTGCTGTTATTTTCTTGTGCAGTTTACAATAAAGCATGGATGAAATGAAGGCCTTGAGTCATCCAAATGCAATCCTGATCTGATTAATAACAAAATGTGTTTGACAAAAACAGATGAAGATCTTTTGTTTCCCCTAAATTGTGTAAAACATGGCGTGTAAGCTCACTTTGTGTTGCAATGTCTATAACACAAATTTGTGTTCTGCTTTCAGGGTTTATATAACTGAGCAATGTGTGTTTTACATGAGATTAAGTTATAAGGAGTTAAAAGTGATATTTTGAGGATGGTATCTGTTTTGTTTTTCAATCCCTGCTAAAGGCTAAAGTTTGAGAAAAAATCCCTGATCCCACTATATCTCGTTTATTGATGCCAGGATGGTGAAAGTGATAAAGATAAGGAGCTGAAATTGGGAAGGAGTCTAAAATGCACCTTTTCCTCCTAGACAGTCATTAGAAACTTTTTTTTTTGAGCTCCTGCAATTTTTCTTCTTACCTGGCTTTCCCCACTTTCATATTAAAAACAAAAATTGTAATGGACAGACTATCCAGCTGTATATACAATATTAATTTTTTTTTGTTACATTTTTATTTAATGTGACAGTTTCCCCACAAAAGGAGTAGTTATTAAGACCTTTAATTTTTATTTTTGTTACAGATGGTTGATGACCAAGTAGTTCCACAGTTTTCCAGATTTCTTCATGATGATCCTTATGTAAAACCATACCAGACTGAGATAGAGAGAAGGTAGGTTTGCACTGGGGTCTTCTGTGCAACTCATGTAGTTGCTGCACTCTTCAAATTGTGGAGAGTTTAATTTTTAGTGTAACGTTGTAACTAAAGAAGTGCAAAGAACTAGAGTCAGTCATTTGGCTAGAGGGGAAATACTTGCTGGTATACAAGTTTGTTCACAAAACTTTGTATTGCATGAAACAGCTTTAATCCTATATACCTTAACATTCCAAAGGGGATAACAAGGAGAACTTGTTTTTAACATTCAATAGCTTCTTTAGTTGGTGACATTGCCTTTATTGCAGTGACCTTTAAGTCTGATTCAGGGGTGATACTGTAAAGAGAAATTAGATAGAATGGGGATCAATACATATTGATATGCTTCAGTCAATCACTGTATTTCAGAGGAAAAGTCTGCAGCCACTTTTATCTGTGAGATTTGCAGACCAAATGGCAGAATAAGGAAATGCTAAGGGTAATGCTTGACAGTGCTTGCCAGAGAGACAACTGGGTAAGGCACAGGAGTTGTGTTCTTACTTGTGACCATTGTATTTTTTTATTGTTAACAGGTATAAGTGTTTGTCCAAACTAAAGGATGATATTGAGAAGAATGAAGGTGGAGTGGAAAAGTTCACCAGAGGTTATGAAAAGTTTGGGATCAACAGAACTCCAGAGGGTTTGGTATACCGTGAATGGGCCCCAGCTGCTTGTGGAGTGTATCTCACCGGGGACTTCAGTGAGTGAAACTGTTTTGATGAATGCTTTTTTTTACTAGTATTGACTAGTCAGCTCGGAATTGTTTGAATATTAAGTGATCTGTGGCTTTTCCAGTTTGTTAACTGCGGGCTGGATCTGGCTGGCAATTTTGATGGACAAAGGGAAATTTACTTTTTAGACAAGTTTTTAAGATAAGATATGAAAAGTTCAAATCCGACTTTTTTCAGATGGCTGGTCCAGAACTTCTCATCCATGTACCAGAAATGAGTTTGGAGTCTGGGAGCTAGTCCTCCCTTATAAGGAGGATGGTTCATCACCAATCCCCCATGGATCAAAAGTTAAGGTAGGTGTGGAAATATATTTTTTCATCCTTTTGCCTTAAACAAGTATTTTGTCAGCAACAAGGAGTAACTTGATTCATTCATGACTTTCTTTTTAGGTTTCAATTCAGCTTGAAAATGGTAATTTAGTGGATCGCATTTCTCCTTGGACTCGTTATGCCGTTTGTCCTGAGGACAGCATTCTGTATGAAGGAATCCATTGGGACCCTCCACAACCATATCAGTGGCAGCACAGTCGGCCCAAGAAAACTTCAGGCCTGCGAATCTACGAGGCTCACGTTGGTATAGCTTCCCCAGAGCCAAAAGTAGCAAGTTACAAAGATTTTACACACAACGTCATTCCACGTATAAAAAAATTAGGATACAACTGCATACAGCTTATGGCTATCATGGAACATGCGTATTACGCCTGTTTTGGTTACCAGGTAACCAACTTCTTCGCTGCCTCCAGGTGAGGTGTTTGATCTCGTTTGAACAGTTTTTATCCCTTAAACTCTCACGAATAGTCAAGACAGAATTTCTCCTTACAATATCATAAACAATATCATAAAATTGTATGGCAGACAGTAAGGAGATTATTAATGAGATCTTGAGAGTGAAAGGTTTGAACTTTCGTAAGAGAAGGTTGTCATTGAGTAAAGTTGTCCACTAAATCTGGATGCTGGCGGGACTTGTTGATGAACCAAGTGGCTGGGAGTAAAAAAATGAGTGTGAACCCGACATTCTGTATTTCGTAACAAAGAATATCCTTTTAAAAAGATGTTAGAATTTTTTACATTGAACATCCCGACACTTGGAATCCGTAAAGCCGCTAAAATTTTTTTTTTTCATTTTAGCCGTTATGGTACGCCGGAGGAGTTGAAGGAACTTATAGATGTAGCACACGAGAACGGCATTTTAGTCTTACTGGATGTAGTGCACAGTCATGCCGCAAAGAATGTGATGGATGGCTTGAATGAATTTGATGGTTCACAAAGCTGCTATTTTCATGGGAGTGGACGTGGATTTCATTCACTGTGGGACAGTCGACTCTTTGACTACACTCAGTGAGTTGACCTAACAGATTTGTTTCCATATTGCAGTGAACAACGTTGTTCTTTCTTTATGTTGTACACTCTTCGCTAGTATGCATCTCTCGCTTGTGCGCATATTGATTGCAGCGGCGGATCTAGGGGAGGGGCCAGGCCCCCACCTTACTTTGGGTAAAAATAAAGAAGAATCGCAGAAGGAAGAGAAGCCGGCAGGGCAAGCGACACACCCCCTCCCCCCCTTAGCTCAAGGTCTGGGTCCGCCTCTGGTTTGCTCCCCCCAAACTTTTCGCGAGCTTCACATCTCGATGAACGTTCACTGACGCATGAACCAACTGTTGAATGATTTGAACAATTGCTTATTCAGGTGGGAGGTTCTCCGATTCCTTCTTTCCAACCTTCGTTGGTACATGGAATATTACCATTTCGATGGCTTCCGATTTGATGGTGTCACTTCTATGATCTACCATGACCACGGAATGGGACATGGATTCGGCGGAGACTATCCGGATTACTTTGGACTTGGAGTAGATACGGAATCACTTATCTACCTCATGTTAGCCAACGAAATGTTGCATACGATTTATCCTGACGTTATCACGATTGCCGAGGTAAATTTAAACTAAAAATTTAA